ATAAATAAATTAGCTGTGTAAGCCCAAATGTTAACCTGATGACTTGAGGAAATGAAAAACCTAACCGGCCAACATTTCTCTAATGTCATGTCAAGGTCCTACAAAAAAAGATAACTTTAAGTTATTTTTGCCAAGAGTGTTATAGTACAAACCATTGAACTGTGAAGTACATTTTTCCATTTTTGATTTAATATTTCTTTTAAAAAATGTATTGTATAAAATGTAAAATAATGTATGCCATTGTATTTTAAATCTCTTTATCTATTTGAATATTTGAATTTAAGAGGCTGTGATTGTTGTTAATTTTTGCCTGAGTATATTTACAAGTTTAAATGAACAAATGAAAAAAAAAAAGAGTTTACTTTTTGCAATCACCATAATGTTTCAGAAGTGAGTTTGGGCTGAAACGATGTCAGAGAACATTTCACTTTATGTCACAACATTTAATTCTTAATTTTAAGTTTAATAAGATGTCAGTGACTGTTTGAATACACATTATTTTATTTCATATGATAATGTTGAGTGATTCTGTTGTTAACAGAGATATAACTCTGATGCCATAAAACAATGAATTGTGTTTTCAAAAGATCAAATTGAGCTGAGTGCTTCAGACTAAACATGTAATTTCCTTAAATTCTTCAGGAGTTGTCATAGACTTTGAAAAATTATTCATATGCATCAAGCATCTGATTAATTTCCATCTTTAGTCTCAGAAAAATGTAAAATGTGGACATTTTAAACGTTCTTTACTGTTTAGTACATTCATGGTTTGTTTAATTTCACACTTGACAACTTTATGTCAATTGAAAATACCTTTATAAGTTTCCAGGTAAAAAATTAGAAAAGTTTATTTTCTAAACATGATGTCCCAGTGGCTTTCAAACCCCAAAACACATTACAGCAAAGGCTGGTTCACCCCAAAGATCCGGTGCCCAGGCACAAACAGAGCAATATTGTATATGCTGTTAAGTGCCAGGAGGACTGCGACCAGTTATACATCGGGGAAACAAAGCAGCCACTGTTCAAAACAATGTCCCAACACAGACGAGCTACATCTAATGGCCAGAACTCTGCAGTTTTCACTCATTTACAGGCCAGCGGTCACTCTTTCAGAGATGAGGATGTTCTCATTCTTGATAGAGAGGAATGTTGGTTTGAGAGAGGAGTAAAAGAAGCCATTTTTGTGAAGAAAGACCGTCCATCATTAAACAGAGGTGGAGGCCTCCGTTTTCAGCTGTCCTCCTCCTACAGCGCGGCTATTGCCAGTATAACACCAACCCCTGGTAACAATAAGTGTTAATTAGGCGTCAACGATAGCCATGTGATGTGAGTATCAGTCACATCACAAAAGCCTGAATTTTGCCTGAAACTCTCAGACTGAAGAAGTCTCTTGGAGGAGAGACGAAACGTTTCATTAGAGAAGAACCCTTCCAGAAGACCTATACAATTTTTTTTTCTTTTTGACCTTTATAAGTTATTTTGCATGTTGATACCTTAAAAATTAAGTAAAACTACCTCTTCTGAAAAAAACAAATGCTTAAATTTCTTGCAAAATGTGAAACAAAACTACTAAAAATATGTAAAATGTTTATTTTTATTAAATTGTAAAAAGCAGCTCGTTTAAAATGAGAGAAAACTTAATCATCAAGGAACAGAACAGTTCATTAAAACCCAAGACTACAATAACGTAAATTATTAATTTATAAAACACTGATTCCACATTAAAAATATTTGTATTTATAGATCATTAAAACGCATCTACTACGACAACAGGGATCCCAGGCACGAGCTCCACCGCAGACCTGGGTCGAGCTGGAGGAAACGCTGGAGAATTGTTTGTTGGAGCGACGCGGAAAATTCAAAAACAGAAACATCACTTTTGGAAAAGGCAGATTTGGCATAATGGTTCGGATGGAAATGGCGATAGGAAATGAGAAAGACTGAGAATTTGAAGGGACGCCAGTGGGAAGAGGGAAGGAGAGAGGTCGTGGAAGAAATAAAATGGATGAAGGAAAGGTTATTGGTGATAGCCAAGGCAGTAAACGGGAATTGGAAGGAAGTAGTTCAGAAGAAGAAAGGATAGTGGGGAGGAAAGTTGTGAGGGAGGAATTTAAAGTAATATTAAAACTTAAAAATGAGGAAGAACAGGAAAAAATAAGCCCCATTGTGGTGTCAAGAGAAATTAAAAAGAAAATTGGAGATGTTGAAATGGTAAAGATTTTGAGAGATGGAAACCTATAATGGTAGTAAAGATGTAGAACAAAAAAATAAGGCTTTAAAAGTGGATAATATTTGCAAAAGATCTGTGATGGAGAAAAAAATCGTAGGAGAAAATAAAAAAATTAGAGGAGTGATTTATGGGATCCCTYTAGATGAAGATCTTGATAAAATTAAGAGAAGTGTTGTAGGTGCAAAAGTGAATAACTTGAAAAGATTGTCAAAAACAGTGGATGGAGAAAGAGTAGGAAGTTTGTCAATCCTTATTGAGTTAGAAGAAAAAGAGTTGCCAAAAAATATCAAAATAGGGTACCTCAGTTTTCAGGTCAGACCATATACAATATGTCAGTAATGGAAAAAAAAAAACAAGATAAATCTTACATTGTAGATAGTTATTCAGTGCAATTATATTTAAATAATTATTATCAACACATTCAAATTTATACTGATGCATCAAAAGTAACTGGGAAAATAGGAATAGCGTTTGTAGTACCAGAATTCAATATAAAAATAGGAAAAAGAATTACAGATGGAGTTTCAGTATACACAGGTGAAATGCTGGCAATATTATTAGGGTAGGCAATGGGTGGAAGACATAAAACCATTAGAAACGATAATATGTTCAGATTCAAGTTCTGCATTATTAATTTTAAAAAGTAATCAGACTGATAGTAGGATGGACATTTTATTAGAAATATATCATACATTATTCAGAATACAAAACATGGGTTTGATAGTTATATTTGTGTGGGTTCCAGCGCATAGTGGATTAGAAGGAAACGAGAGGGCAGATAAAATGGCAAAGAGGGCAGTTCAGTATCCTATTAGTTTTAAAGTTAAAATAAGTAAATCTGAAGGTAAGAGTATTGTTAAAGAGAAACTGATGAAAGAATGGCAAAAAAGGTGGGATGAAGATAAAACAGGAAGATGGTTTTATAAAATTCAGAAGAATGTAGGAGAAAGAAGAAATGGAAGAAGAAATAGAAAGGAGGAAAGAGTGATAACTATGTTAAGATTTGGACATAGAGGACTTAATTATACACTTTTTAAAATTCAAAAACATAAAACTGGCAAATGTGATTATTGTGATAAATATGAAACCATAGAGCATGTTAAATCAGAATGCCATAAATATGAAATAGAGAGAAGATATATGAAGAGAGAGTTTGAAAGTATTAAGGAGAAGATTAATTTATTAGATGTATTGAGGAAGAATTTAGGGAGTAAACATATGCAAATAATTATTCGATTTCCAAAGAAAACTAAATTATTTCATAGAATTTAATTATAGTAAGTGTGTTTGTGAATGAAGACATGGTATACAAAGTTGGGCATAAGTATGTATGTATTAAGTGTGGATGTATGAGTGTATGTTTAGTTAGAATGTATGATAGAATATATGTATATACAGTATAGAAGAGGATAAATATTTAAACCATCACGAACCACACTCCATACCAGTACCAGGCGGTAATGCTACTAACAGCTTGTTGCCAACCGCCATAAATCCGACAAGAAGAAGAAGAAGAACAGGGATCCCATTTCTGTGTTACACAGGAAGTAGCACGGATGTAATTTGATGCTGCGCTTGGCCGTCTTCCGGTCTCTTTTCCCACGGCCACCGAACGAAAATGGTGAGAAGCAACGCTGGCCTTAAGAAATCCTTTAACATCTGCTTAATGAAGCATTTATTTCACCTGGAATTTTTGTTGCTGTTTGTCGAATAAACACCATTACTCTTTGAATGAAGTATTTTTCAAAGATGAAGAGTAGTTGTATTTTTTTTAGGTTTATCGATTGTAGCCATTTAGCATATTTGCTACGGTTAGCGTTAAGGGTTCATATTCAGAATGGTATTAAATTACCCGTAAAAGATACGAAGCAAACATGGTTCTTTCCAACTTCATTTTTTTGTTTATACGATGATTTTTATGCGTTAGTACATTTAATGGCTAATGGTTAGCTTACGTACTTTGATTGTCTGAGTGTATTTCCTATTAGTCTCCATTCTGACAACAGCTGGTTTTTGTATATATTTTTTGTTAATTTTAGGGAATTGCATCAGCTTTTGTTACACAAGCGTATGAGTCATTTTAAATATTTTGTATTCCCCACATTAAGAATAATCTTTCGCCGGTCTTGTCAAAGATGTCTCCAAACACAAATGTCTGAACAAATGACTTTATGTGATTCCATCATTTTTTTCTGAGACAAGACATCCACATCATTTATTTTGATTTAAGGCTTAAAAGAATTGTTATTTACCCCTGATGTGTTTCCTCTGCCTAGACCAAGGGGACATCATCTTTCGGTAAACGCCGAAACAAGACGCACACTTTGTGCCGTCGCTGTGGAGCCAAGGCTTATCACCTGCAGAAGTCTTCCTGCGGCAAGTGTGGCTACCCCGAAAAGCGCAAGAGAAAGTGTAAGTTTCCCCAAAAGGTGTATTTTTGAAGCCGAGAGTGAGACCCTGATGTTTACCCCCTCTTTCTTTTTTCCATGTGTGAAGGGAAGAATAATGAAACTGTACATTTCAACTATAAATATTTAATTCAAAATCTGCAGTTAAGCTTGAGAGCTTTATATCAACATATCATGTGAGCTTTGATTTGTGGTGCTTTTCTTGACAAGCTATTTGAGTCTCGTTTAGCCTTGTCAATGATAGTTTTCTTGACGTGGTTCTTCCCTGATGCTTATTTATTTAATCTGTAGACAACTGGAGCGCTAAGGCCAAGAGGAGGAACACCACGGGGACCGGTCGTCTGAGACACCTGAAGGTTGTCTACCGCAGATTCAGGTGATGAAATCTAACCTTAACAACTCTGTTTCTCCGTGTTTTGAAATATTAGTGTGCATTATTCCTGCACAGGTCTTGTCAATGATGTTTTCAAACACAAATGTCTGAACAAATGACTTTCTGTGATTCTAGCTTATGTTCTGAGACAAGACACCCACATCCTTCTTTTTGAATTAGTTTAAACCTCCAAGCCCGGCGCCGCATATGTGGACAAAAGTGCATCGCAATGCAAGAGTTTGGGTCATAGGAAGGTTTAGTCAAACTGACACTTCAACACGGTTTTATCCTTTTGAGTGCCAAGCTTTTGCTCGATGTGCAGTTTTATTTTCTGTAGCTATTTATGATTAATAGAACATCATAAACAGAAAATTTAAGAGAGGACAATCTTCAATAAGTTTAAGTCACAACTGCGTTTCACAATACTTAATAAATCTAAAGTAGACCTTATCTTTATCAGAACATGCATTTTTCTGTATTTGTAAAATAACTGATGTAACTGCAACTTAAATCTGAAATTAATGAAATAATGTGGCATGTGTCTTTAACAGGAAGTTACAGTAATTAAAACGATGTATAATACTTTAAAACGATTTTAAAATCACAAGTTGTTAAACACTGTCAAACTAAACCAGATTTATGTAAATAAACTGGATTTATCAGCTTTACCAATAAACACGAGTGTTTATGTTCCCAACATGGAATGTAAGCAATATTCCTGCCTCCCACATTAATCTACTAACACATGTACACACACCAACACCTGTTAGTTAATATTTGTTATAACTTGAAATGTCATAAAGATGCTTAAGGGAAAAGGTCTGAGTTGTTACTAGAAGTTTGATGGTGTGTTTGGTTTGAGTACAGATGTTCTCAGTTTTATTCATGCATTAAACACCGGTGTGGTCACAACCTCACAGGTTAAAGCTCGTTTTATACTTCGAGTTGCACGTCTTGTTCCCCCTGCTTAGTGACAGAAAAACGGACGTCTATTTTCTGACCGAGTATAAATAAATTAATATAATTCCTCCCTCTGCCCTCCCACAGCTCATAAGTAGGAAAACTTATGGCTGGATGTTGTGATTTTTTTTCCCCGCTCATTGTGTGAAGGGTCTGCAGAGGAAAAAGTTTTTTTTTTTTTTTTACGATGGTGATGGGGAGTGAACATCAGCTGCATGCTCACGTTCAAACCAGTTGCTCTTCTATCTCTTAACAACAGGCTTCAGACAAAAGAAATCTTAAAATAACATGCAGAAGGAAGATCTGCTCTGAATCCACCTCAGTGCTGAGAAGCTGGACCATCACTTGCTGCTCAATAACAAACACACCCACGAAGTTCTAACCAATCACGCTCTGAGCCGCAACGTCTGAATCGCAGAGTTCTGTCTGGGGGCATGATGGCTGTCACCGGGAGATGGCAGACGGAAGTTGCACTATTTGTCATTCAGCAGGGGGGACAGGACATGCGACTGGAACTTATAAACAGCCTTAAGTCTAAAGCAGGGTGGGGCTGTCCTGGTCCTGCATGTTTTCCTCATTTCTCTGCTCCAACTCAACCTGATTTGTAGGTGATTATCAGCCTTCTGCAGAACTTGAAGAGAACATTCAGCCACAAAATCAGGTGTTTTGGAGCAGAGGGTAAAACATGCAGTACAGCAGCCTTTGAGGACCAGGATTGCCCACCCCTGGTCCAAATGATCCTAGCCTGTAAAATGATTTAATTCAGAAAACAATGGATAGCTGTCTGTTTTTTGTGTCGCAGCTTACTGCTTTTCAAATTGGCGGATTGTAAAATGTTTGATTTTTATCTTTTGATGTTTTTATGGTATATTTTTTCATCACAAGTTGCACGATGGTGAAATAAATCTTTATGTACCAAGTTGTTAGAAGTTAATCTTTTCAAGCTGGGTTTTTTAATACACTTATTGTTGAACTTAAATTAAAAATATCGATTTCATAATTAACATAAAATACAAACCAAATGTTAAGTTGCACCAAGGTGCTGAAGATTAGCTCTGTTTTTTTTTAGTTGGGTAATCAGTGTTTGGAGGAATAAATCTTTAACATTTAAAGATATCTATATAATGTTCAGCTGTGGCTGACAAACACAAGTACTTGTTATTTGTAATCAGTACTACCTGTGAGATAAAATACTCTAAACTTTTACTTTTCTGTTTTCCTTTTTAGAAATGGTTTCCGGGAAGGTACCACGCCCAAACCCAGACGTGCTGCAGTGGCCGCCTCCAGCTCATCCTAAATGACACATTTTTTGACTAAAATAAATTGGATGTTAAACAGGAGCTTCAGAGTCTCGTCTTGATTTTGTATTTATATCATTAGCCCGACTGACAGTTTCTACAGAGATTTTAATCATGTTACTGGCATAAAAAGTAGTTCTTATTGTTGAGTGGTCGTCCTGCCTGAGTTTCAGCAGGAGTGTTTCTCCTAAATCCAACATTTGTCAGTAAAAGCAACAAGTTTGTTTTTCTCTAAGGGGTTGTTTTCAGTGTTGGGCTTGTCGCCCTGCCCTGCATTTTGTATAGTGTGATGGTGGAGCCTGATGAGCAGCAAAGTGCCTTTTTTAACTCTGCTGACTTATTGCATAAAGACAGAAGTTTCCCAAAGTGCCTTTTTTAACTCTGGGAAACTTCTGTCTTTATGCAATAAGTCAGTTCCACTGACCTAAAAAACAAATCAAACTGATGGATCCAAGTTCTGTAAATAAGTTATCTCACACCTGAACATTTGTCTCACTAAAAAAAAAAAACTTAAATTACCTTCTAGTCTTGAGTTCTCATACTTTTACAAAAAAAAAAAAAAGACTTCAATGAACAAATAGGTCGTTTTTCTGAAATGAATTTTCACCTGTTGTGTGGGAATCTAATTAGCTGATACTGGAGCAAACCAGTTATCCAATTTATAGCACAATAACAGGACGTCTATATGAAGATGTTGAAGAAAAACAGACAAAATCATTACTTGTGAGCTGAACTGGTTCCTTGTGTAAACTGCTCCAGCATTACTGGTTTAGCATTCCATGCTGGTTTGAAACTTAAAGCCTTATGTTGAGAAGTAAACATTTAATCTGTTCTGGTTCAAGACCATTGAGTCAAATTTCTGTTTCTGTTGGGGAGTCACTGGGCTGGGAGAGCTGTTTATGAGACTTGATCAAATACAGCTTGAGGATTAAGTGTCTTCAGAACTTCCTCAGCAACAAAACAAGTAAATATTTGAAAAGCGCTGAAACCCTCAGAAGTTGGTTTATAAATGAGCAAGTTTTGGGCTTCTGCTGGAAAAACCAAATGATGTCTCAAATGAGAACATTTCCTTTCAGGATATAACAAAAAAAAGTCCCTGAGTTTTCAGCATCCTTTCACTTAGGCTTTAATTTCAGCTAATTATTTAAGAAATTGTTGAGTCTTAGAAGTTGACCTCTGACCTCAGACACTGGTCTGGTTTCTGTCACAGATAAGCAGCAACATTCCTCTGAATCATGGTGCAACTTTCACTATTTTCCTCTGCCAAAACCCTCCTCCACTCCTGGGAGGACGTCTCCACCTTTAAATTAGAGTTTAATCTTTCTGACTACTGCTGATCTTGTAGTTCATGGTCTGAAATAATGTGATTTAATTAAGATATTCAGAGTATTTACTTTTCAAAGCAAATAACTTATTTTTACCTCAAAGGATGGTCAACATTTTTGTCAAACCTTGAACATTATGTCATTCAATCTCATTTAAAATTTTTGAGATGTCACTCAGAATATGTGTTGTAAAGATTCAGCTACATCACATTTTAACTCAGGATCTATATATTACCTGACTTGGCCATTTTATGTTGGCTAATATGGATGTGCTGCGGCACAACTCTAGATTAACATCCCATGATTAAGTGCTAAAAGTTTTATTAAAATCTGTCTTGTGGTTCATGAGATATTTTGCTAACAGACAAACAATGCTAACCCCTAACAGCTGCTGTTAAAAATCTAGCACAACCCTCTCAGTATGTACTGTGGATGACTCTCAGCTACCTCCACAGTAAGTTTAGCATATTATCTGTGAAACTGACTTAATTAAGGCCATTTTTGTGTTTTCAAAAGTCAGCTGGCTGTGGCGGCCATCATGAACTGAATTAACTCTGAAAGTTAATAGGTTGGAGATACCCAATCAAAGAAAGTTTACTTAAAGATGCTTTAAAATTTGTCTAGTAGTTTATGAGATATTTTGCTAACAGACAGAGTAAACTCAATTTAGTTGGTGGCAGAATGTTAGCACTAATTTGTGTTGGGATCAGTTTCAGCGAATACCGCACAAAACTTGAGCTCATTATCTGTAACAAAAAAAAAATAAGTTTTGGGCAGTTTCGGTGTTTTCAAAGCTCATCTGTTTGTGGCATCAATTTTTTTTCCCATTAAAACTTCATTCTGTGATTCATGAGATATTTTACTAACAAAGAAACACACAGTGAGGATGAACTGTGTATAAGCGTGTGAGCCAGCAGGGGGCGATAAAGATGCAGTGCAGCCTTCAGCTGAAGCCCACCTTCTCCCTTTCTCCCCATCTGATGGTGAAGACCCGCTGTGGCAGAGCTGCACTTCTGGAGAGCAGGAGAACCTGTCTGCTCGGCTTGTCCTCCTGCTTTCTCACACTTTTTACCTTTGTTTTCTTTTTTTGTTGTTGTTTTTTTGACTCTCACCCAGCCCCCTGCATCTCTTGCCTAACCTGGACTGCTGCTCTGTTCCTCCCTTCATAGTTTTACGAGCTGGAATGACAGTTCTTGGAAACTGAGGCTGCTGGAATGAGAGGTAAGTGTGTGAAACTGGAGCCCCAGTTTGCTCAGACTGGGCTTTTCTTGCTTTGTTTTGCTCTTACAAAAACACTGATTTGATTTTCTTTTTCTCTTCCCCCCCACCCAAAGCCTCTGTCCTGGGATCGGTCTGTGCTCTTCTCTTGCTGTTGCGAGAGCCTGCATGCCAGGGAGATGAGGTTACAGGTAGGTGCCTGAACCGAGCAACTCCTTTGAGAGCTGAGGCAGGAAATGTGTGGATTCTGAACCAGAGGATATGTATGTTTTCTTTATGATCCCTCTAGTTCCATCTGGACTTAACAGACCAGACAGCCATCAGTCAAGCAGACATTCCTGTAGCTTTGGAAACAGAGAAACAGGCCCCAACAGGCAGAGTAATAGGACATCATCTGCAAGAAAATTCACTGCCCAGTAAATCATTAGGCCTTGTTTTCTTTTTGGGGAAATCTAAACAGTAAAGATATTTATCTTGCACCTTAATTTGTTGTCCCTTTTTAAAGTCAAAAGCAGGAGTAATGTTTGGGGAGTGAAATGGGTTTATTTCTTGCAGTGATGCCCCCCGAAGCAGACACCTCCTGTCTGACTTGTACGGACACATAAACCAGTTCTCACCACCTTGTTCAGACCCCTCCTCCTCCCCTCAGGCACATGCTATCAGCTGCTCTCACTCATTTCTCACCCTCCTCACTTATCTGATTTCACCTTTCAGGTCTTGACAAAGTCCCCCTTTTTTTGTCAAAGGAACATATTGTGTCCTTTTGTTGCACCCATTCTCTCAGTGCGTGTGTGCGTTCTGATTTATTCTTTGTTTATTCTTCCCTTATATTTTCTTGCGTACTGTGATGTATGTGGCACGGACGGAGGTCAGAGCTGAACTCCGTTTCACCTGTGAAATCAGATCGTCAGCGTGTAGTTTAGAAAGCTGCCAGATGTGGTTTCAGATGAAATAGTGCAAACACTCAAGAGCATGTCGGCACACATGTGGGAGCGAGGACAGAATTCCAAAGAAACATAAGGGGCCCCAGCATCAAATAATGTAACATGCAATATCATGTGATACAGAGCATACGTTGTGAATGACTCTCAGCTACTACCATCACAAATTTTAGCTCAATATCTGTAAAATTTAACGTGTTATTGCCATTTATGTGTTGGCTAATAAAGATTAGCTGTGGCAGTGATCTTGAACTGGATTGGCTCCAAAATTCAATCAGCTGTAGGCATAAGTCCAAAAAATACTTTCTAAAACTTTCATTCAAATACACAAAGTTGTTCATGAGATATTTTGCTAACAGACAAACAGGACTGATTCCACCAGTTTATGCTGAAGCTTTAGGCGATGATCTTGCACAATGCACGACATAACCTGGGAATAGCTCTCAGCTACTTCCACATCTTAATTTTAGCTCTGTATCTGTTAAAATGGCCGAGTTATAGCTTTTTTGTGTGTGTGTGTTTCAGTATCACTTGGCTGTGGCTGCCTTCTTGAATCAAACCAACTCCAAAAGTGAATCAGTTGTAGTTGCACATCCAATACTTAATTTCTGCTAATTTCTTCAATATCCGTTAGACGGTTCATGAGATATTTTGCTAACAGACAAACATCCGTCTCACAAAGAACAAGCACAAACATTCTTCAGAAGAGTCGGGATGTTTTAGAGTTTATCAAAGTTTTTTTATTATGTCGAGCATGTCTTCACGCTCCACACTTTGCCTAATCTTCCATCTGTCAGCGAGCGCTTAAAGCATGACTCATTATCTCCTCGTTTAACAAAACTTTTCTGCTGTCTCATGCTAGTTTATGAAACGTAACACCCCTCCTTCCCGCTTCCCTCAATTTCTGTGTCTGCAGGAACAAAAAGTCTTTCATTAAAGCCTGCTTTGTTCAGCTGGCTTTGCTTGACTTGCCAGAAACATTTAGGCTTTCCCCTTAACCGAGGTTTTTTTTTTAAATATATTTGCTTTGTTTATAGGTTTTGTTTATGCAGTTTGTTAACGAATAACTTGGTCTGCCTTTTCATCTGAAGTTCATTAATCAACCCATAACATTCCCACTGTTTGGCTCACAAAGCAGGGGTCAGCATTTTTATGTGCATGAATGTTTTTTTGGTTGCAATGGAAAGACCCTCTGAATACCTGCTCAAAAAAAAGAAAATTATTCTGTTATATTAGTCGACTTGTGTCAAGATGGCTGCCGCAGCTTATCAACCTTAACCTACATATAAATAACTGTAACTAAATGATTTGATTTAGGTTTTAAAAGGGGAGACAGTGCAGTTTAAACTGGGGGTAGTATGCAAGATCAACTTTTTTTTTTAGCTTTTTATCACGTTGTAATGTCATTCCCTCATCAAAAATATACCCAGAGTGTTGCTTTGACTCATTCATGCGTGTTTGAGAAATGCTTCAATCTCCTGTGGCCATGTGGAGCTGCCTAAATGCTTGCTGCTACAAAGCACCGCCTATTTGTACAAAGCTCCTCCCCAGAGCCCAGTCTGCAGCTGAGTTCCTGCCTCACACACCACCTCTCCCTTGAACCACTTTTGTGTAGATGTGCTGAAATGGGAGTGTCTGAAATGGTAGGAGGTTCTTAAAGAGACTGAGGCCAATTTCAAGGCATTTAGACTGTGATGCAAATCTAAATTTATTTTTTGATAAATCCATCGTTTTCATAACAACTGAAGGTAACATAGTTACTTGAACATGGTATAGAATTGAACTATGTTCCTGGAAAATACATAATAACCCCACCTCTTAATAAAACACGACAATTCACAAGTCAAAAATGTCAAAATTAGCCAAACGACAATTTTTCATCTGTGCTGTCATGCTGTTTAAAATGCAATAAAATACTAGAATGTAAATACAACAATACAAACAATAAGGTCAAGAAATTGGATTAAACAAATCCTGACACATAAAGAAAAAAAACATGACTGTTAAAATAAAAACAATACAGTTATACAGTACCACACATCAAATACAATTCCTATTTAGTGTTGACAGGTGTATGAATCAACAAGCCATTTTTTATGTTTAGTGAATGCCTTATATGTTTATGAATGCTCTAAAACACAAATGTGTTAGTAGCTGCCATCATTTTGGTTAAGGGAGATATGTATTTCTTTAGGGAAAGCAGTAGTTTAAATTACAGAAACATTTAAAAGTTATAAACTTATATTCAATACTTTTGTGGAAAGTTGGTGTGAAGCATTTGCTTCAGTTGTTTGGGATTTTGTTGGCAGTAGGGATGTGTGAAGGATGGTTTTAATCCAAAGACACTCGTGGTATTTTAACCTGCCCTGCCCTCTTAATAGTAACACTCTGTACCGGGTTAGAAAGCTGTTGTCAGCATCATGTATGAGTTTGCACACACTGACGCTGCGTAGTCCTGGAGAGCATTCCGGCCATAAATCATGCAAGAACAGAAACAATGACAGCAGTTTATTAGCACCGCGTTGATAATTAAAAATACAATTATTGCACTTATAAAGTAAATATAAAAGACCTCATATTTGAGACTCAGACTGTAACTTATCTGCTCAGGGTCAACTTGATCCTCAAATCTAAGCGAAGGCTCCAGATTACCTTTTGAGGTTAACCGTAATTATCCGATGGAGCTCATGGGAACTTTGTGTTGGAGTCTCTCTGGAAGCCATTAAGAATAAAATCAGCGATTGTTGCACATAGTGGTGAAGATGTGCACAAAAACGTCACCCGGGCCAGCTGGCTGCTGAAGGCGTTGGTAATGTCGCAATTTGTTCACATCTTAGCCATAAAGTTCTGTTTCGGGTCTTAAAGTTTTAACTGCTCTGCTCCAAAAACTGTCTTGTTTGAGTTATTTATAGGATTTAGATTCAATTTGAAAGAAGTTTTATTGACTTATTTTATTGTTATTTGTTGTAAATGTGAATCATAACAGTCATTATAAAGCCATACATTTAACACAATGAAACTTTGAATGAACCCGGATTAACATTTAAGACAGCTGCCAATATTTTTATTCAACTAAATTGCTTGGGGGCCACAGTTTCTCAAAGACAACAGTTCAGGTGGGATTGCCTGATAATGTTAGGGGAAACACTGCAAAAGATCAAGTAAAGTTAACTTTTACCTTTTAAATTTACAATACATTTAAAATCAGTTTTTTTATTAAATGAAGTAACAAAAAAGGTGTGTGTGGGGGGGGGGGGCATCACTGACTTCTTTGGGTAAGGTAGTAACTGATCTGTAACACTGTGCAGCTCAAAGATGTGATGTAGTAGCAATGACAACCACCTTGCCATGGGATTTAAAGTGCCTGTGGCATCAATTTTTTGTAAAAAAAAAAAAAAAAAAACACGAATGCATTTTTGGAAAGAGAACATTGCTAAAATATTGCAAAACAAATTTCACGCGGCTGAGATGAACAGTTGTTGAGATATTTGCATGTGAAGAAACAGGAAGTGATGTCAAAGGGGAATGTCTGCATGTAAACAGAGCATTGTTACAACAGCTAACAATCCAGACTGTAGAGAAGAATCTGATGTTTCTTTAGATTATTTTGAGTTTCTATCAACGAGAGATGAAGAAGAGTTAAAGTTTAAATAATATTGTTATAATAAACAAAGACCAGATAGTTTATTTTATTAAAGAGTTCCCCTTTGATGTCACTTCCTGTTTCACTTTGGCTGAGCCAAATCCAAAAGAAAATAGGGCAGTTATGAAACAAAATGTGTGAAATCATGTGTATTATGCCAATTTTCTCAAGAATAAAGATGTTTTCTTTGACTTTTTGTATTTGAAGGATAGGCGTGTCACAGGCACTTTAAAAGCTTAAGTAGTAATCTGATTCATTAAATCAAGGAAACAAGGCAATCTTGCATTTAGCTGAAGAATGTTTTTTATTGGCGGGCCGGATGGAAGTCACCTGCAGGCTGTATGAGAATCCCAAGATGTTCCCAGTCCAGCAGAGAAACGTAGTCCCTCCAGCGTGTCCTGGGTCTTCCTCTGGGTCTCCTCCCAGTGGGACGTGCCCGGAACACCTCACCAGGGAGGCGTCCAGGTTTTGTTGTTCCATTGGAAGCAATTGTCCTGTTTTTGGGGGGGATTTTGGCAATAATCCCCACAACGGAAAGAAAAGTCTGGATTGCATTTTGAACAAAATGATCATGAGGTCACTCTGGCAAACGTGAGGCCAATCTGAAAAACTCATTATGGGACAATATCTGAAAAAAACATTAGTGCAGTTTTAACTAAGAGATGTTAGCAGAACAGAGTGTGAAATAATCAGCTGGCAGGAAAATTGAACAATTTTATCTCCTTTTTACTGTTTATTTTTACCCTTCATATATGCTTTGTGTAAGTGTTTTCCCATATGTTTAACATGATTTCTCCCCTGTCCACAGTCAACCCGTGCTGTTATCTCCCCTGTCAGCACTGGAGTGTGTGCGTGCGCTACGGTGAGGACAAATATGAGTGCGACTGCACCCACACCGGCTACTATGGAGAGAACTGCACCACTCGTGAGTCCACGTGACTTCATGTCCTCTCTTTTATTGTTACACTTTTTAGGAATGTGAAACATTTGTTTTGTTCATCACATACAGCTTTGTGAGAAAAGGCCTTTTCATTTTGTCAACCACAGAGCTCCTGGCTTGCAGGGTTAAAGCTTCTTGTCTAGACCTAGAAATATTTAGGAAGGATTGGTGGAACTGCCAGCAGGAACCCGCTACTGCTGGTCCTGCTTTTAATTTTGAAAGAAAACTCCCCCCACCGGGGCTCTTGATCCGAGGTGATGCAGACTAAATGTCCTGGCAGTCACGTCATGCATAGCAATAATTACCCTCGACTGGAAACCAGAGGGGCAATCGTGGTAGGAAAAGAAGGAAGGAAAAAAGATAAGCTTAATCAAACAGGAAAAGGCAGGAGATGGTTACATAAAAGGTTTTTACTTATTATGTTACAACATGAACAGAATCACATACAAATCAAATGAGGGTCAAACTAGAGCAAAACCGTGGAAAAGAAAAAAAATATATATATATATTTAATCTTGTGTAAAATGTGAAGATTATTGCCTCAGGAAATGAAGCCAACAGGGAAGAATTTCCTCAAAGCAGACAGGTGTGGGCCAGATCTGGTGTCACGCTGGCACTGCAGCTGACTGCTGGCATAGAAAGCAGTATTGTCAAGGTTTGTCAGTGAGATGTGGGCCAGATTTGGCAATGTCTGAGCTGTTTTTATTATGGTTTGTGTGTCAGAAAACAGTCAATGCCAGCCTGGTTTGGGTTTGGTTTATGTGGTTCTGGCCCATGCATGGACCACCCCTGTCAGACCCCATCTGTGCCACCAAAAGACCACCATTCTTTGCTGTATCGGGGCCAAGTGTTGGCGCATTGTCTGGGCCAGAACTGGGTCAGACAAATTTTTACGATATGGGTTGGCTCAGATGACTCCAGAAAAGTTTCATGTGAATCAAACTGGCAGATTTCATACGATTTCTAGTTTTAGGACAGTAGTAAATATTATTATTATGTGAAGTGTGAATTATGCGAGAGGTTCTGGTTCAAATCCCGGACGAGCCCCCATTAATATGTTACTGCCTTTTGAAACACAGAAGTGTCATAACACATTTAAGGAGGACCAGGCGGAACAATTCATAAAAAGTTGTATTTCTGAATTATGTCTTTGTGTCCTCCTTAAATGTGTTATGACCCTTCTGTGTTTCAAAGGGCCGGAGCACAGTAGTAAATATTATTATTATGTGAAGCAGCTGGAGCTTATTGAACATTGATGTTATTCAGCTTAACTTTCTGTAGATAAAGAGACGTCTTTGACTTATTGACTTCTACTATAAATTATCAAATCATCTTTTCTCAAGTTTCAGTAATTTTTTATTTTTTTCACCACAGCTGAGTTTTGGACCCGAGTGCGTCAGTTCCTCCGGCCCCGTCCCAGTGTGGTTCACTACATTCTCACCCATTTCAGCTGGCTGTGGGACATCATAAACAACACCTTCCTACGGAATGTCCTCATGCGGCTGGTTTTAACAGGTCCACAGTCAGTGGTTGTTTCACAGATCTTTACTGAAAACACACAGTCCATTTTTTTCTAACTTCTGTTCACTCCTTCCTTTCGCTCACCAGTGAGGTCCACATTGATACCCAGCCCTCCAACCTACAACTCAAAATACGGCTACCTGAGCTGGGAATCTTACTACAACCTGAGCTACTACACCCGGCTTCTGCCCCCTGTTCCTGAAGACTGCCCCACGCCTCTGGGGGTCAAAGGTGAGGCCTGAGTCAAATGTTTTCTATTCTTCTTCTGTGGTGCCATAAACTGTTTCTTTATTTGGAAGGGTTAGGAGAGGTCCTGTCATGTTTTCGTCTTGGATTTGAAGCGTGCGTTTCTTTTTTTCACAGGCAGAAACGGGCTGCCTGATCCCGAGGTGCTGTTCGAGAGGCTGCTGAAAAGAAAAGTTTTCAGACCCGACCCCCAGGGCACCAACCTCATGTTTGCATTCTTCGCTCAGCACTTCACCCACCAGTTCTTCAAGACCTACAACCGCATGGGGCTGGGCTTTACTAAGGCTCTGGGACACGGGGTCAGTTTGTGTAAAAAGAGAAACATGAAGCCCTGCATGGTGTCACTTTATGCCAGTTATTTAAAGAAAATCTATCCGTTTGCACCCCAAATGAAGTGAACAAAAGCATCTATTTTAGAGCTAATGGTACTTGTAGATGTTTTTCATGCTGTGAGCAGAATCTAGAGATAAGTCTATGTTCTGTTACTGTCTGCATCAGTAACCTTTTTTTGTGTTGCAGGTGGATGCAGGACACATTTATGGAGACAGCCTGGAGCGCCAACTGGACCTCAGGCTTTTAAAAGATGGAAAAATGAAATATCAGGTGAACAAATTCATTCTAAAAAGCCTAAATATTGCTTTTCCAGTGAGATATACTTTTTCACAATTAACAATATTTATTTCCCCATCAGTTGATTGATGGAGAGATGTTTCCTCCCTCCGTTGTTGATGCTCCCGTCAGGATGAGCTACCCTCCCAACGTCCCCGTCCAGAGTCAGATGGCCATCGGTCAGGAGGTGTTTGGACTGCTTCCTGGTTTGGGGATGTACGCCACGCTGTGGCTCAGGGAGCATAACCGTGTCTGTGACATCCTGAAAGCAGAACATCCCACCTGGGATGACGAGCAGCTGTTCCAGACCACACGCCTCATCATCATCGGTGAGCCGAACACGACCTTGAAAGAAAAGTTGAACACTTCACAGCAGCATCTGATAGCACACAGATAGGTAGATTATTTATTTGTAACAATGCTTTTTAAATGACAATAAATGTTATGATTGGCAGTTAATTGGCAGCACCTGAGGGTAAATTATTGATATGCACAACTCAGCTCTACTGCTCATCCCTCACTGCATGTTCCTTACAACTGCGGCACCATTTAAAACAGGCTTTACAACGGTATAAAACGTATTGTCAAGAAGCATTGTTACAACAAAAAATAATCTACCAAACATGAATTTCCACACTTTTTTAAGCTATGTTTATTTAACTCTCCTGTTATGTTCATTTCTGAGGAACAGCAGTAAAGTTCAATCATGCTATAGTGTCAGAAACTAAAAAAAAAAATCCCCCAAAACATTTTTATGTCTGATAATTAACTCCATTACTAACAATTTCAATCAATATTTGTGAATTGATGTTTTTTTTAATTTCAGATAAAGGATCAATGAGGACAATTCACTTGTTTTTCATAAAACAAAGCATGTTGCATTTTTAATGTCCAACATGGACATTAAACAATGATGAACACAAAAACAATGATT